CTCACTTGACATGCAATTTTGCAGGTTAGGTATAGGTTAAGAGTGCCCGAAAACCTTTCAAATTCGATTCCAAGAATTTGGCCACTTCGTCGTTTCTAGCTTTCTTGCACCATATCAATAGGCAAAGCGATTGATGTACGATTTAGCATTCTACGAGCTGTGGTTCATAATTTATGGACAACATCAAAATTTGACCAGCGCCAGATGATTAGACCCAATTTGGAAAAATGCAGCAAAACCAAGATATTATAATCCAAATTTCTCTTCAATACTCTGTTTTACCACCCTTAGCTTCCCACACGGCCACATAGCGTCGTGACATGGACTTGACAAGAGAGTCTAAGAGGTTGTGGCCAATTCCCGACCAGGCAGCCTTGATGGCGGTGATGAAAGCTGGAATGCTCTGATACTGTCGCCCGTTCGCGTAAACTTGACGTGCCAGTATACCCCACAAGTTTTCTATCGGATTCAAATCCGGAGAGAGTGATGGGTGGTCAAAATGGGTGACATTTTCGTCCTTCAAAAATGCTGTAGTATACTTCGAAGTATGAATTGAAGCTCCATCTTGCATAAAAACAAATTCTGGACCATAATGTTCATGTGCAAATGGAAACAGATAATTTCCAAGAGTATCACAATAACAAACTGAATTCTGGTTGCCTGTCAGAAATACTAATTCACTCAAACCAGAGGACGAAAATGCACCCCAAACCATCACTCCACCTCCTCCGTTCCTGCGGGTAAAATAGGTATCCGGTTCCTTGCGTAAGTCGTGCCAGTAATACTGGAGACCGTCAGGGCCATCCAAGTTGAATCGCTTCTCGTCCGACCATATAATTCCAGGCCAAAATGGTGGATCCTTGAGGTACTTCTTCACATGCTCCAACCGAGCAATCTTGTGGCTTTTCTTGAGCATGGGCATGTGTTTGCGCTTGACGTACTCCATGTTCTCAAAGCCTTGAAGCCTGCGCTGACATGTTCGCAACGAGGCGTCAATATCCAGGCTCGTCGCTAGGCTTCTTCCCGACAACCCGGTCTTGGATGCCTCTCGAATGAGGAGCCGAAGTTTCCGCCCAATAAGTTTGGCTGGTTTTCGGTTCTTGAAGTTGCTCCCATAGCCCTCACGCTGGTCGATTACCGTTCGTATAGCCTTGGTGGACCTTCCGACGTGCTCGGCAATGGCACGGTGTGTGAAATTATGGTCTCGGAGCGCCAAAACCATGCCCACTTCCACCTCGGTCAGAAGTGGTCCGCGTCCCATCCTTACTAAGGTTGAACGAGTGTTTTGTGTTTCTAGTAGTTGTGTAGGTTATGTACTAGGCCCTAGATATCTTGGATGTGTGTATCTTTACCTGAAGCGCACTTGAACACGGTTGGGTCTATTCGACTGGCGTGGTGTCCAGGAAGGCAATTCAGATTTTATGTGATTTTGAACGACACTCAGCTCGGATGGCGGAAAGTCGTATGTCAAAATATTCCGCCAATCATAAGCTATCGTTTGTTTCTTTTAGTTTTTACGGCACTGTGATAGGTCAAAAGTTGCGCCTGAAAAACTGTATGGGTCTATTTATGTGGCGCGGACTGTAGCTTGTAGAATTGCAACTGAAGGACTAAAAAAAGTGGTCCAATATTACTGTACAAAGTGACACTGTAGTACAACGCAACTACTGTTAATGCATGTATGAAGGATTAACAAGAAAAAAGGAAGCGCCAGACCGGGTTCGAACCAGTGACCCTCAGAGCTGCAATCTGACGCTCTACCACTGAGCTACTCGCGCTTCATATTCAGAAGATCTATTTTTTCAATAGCAAAGCGGACAAATACATTATTACATTTACACAAAGTGCCAAGTGTTGGCATGTCATCAACATCCAAGTGGCTGTGGCTGCTGGTGCTGGCCTCTCAAGCATGTGGCACCCGCTTCCTCTTCACCTTACATGCTGACACTACAGTACGCCATTTCGCCTCGCCATCCACTGTCTTAACCTGGTTGTGTCGCTTAGGATTGCTTTTACGAACCCGTCGACGTCCGGGCAACATCCAACGCGCTTCTAGTCCGATTCGACATGGTGGATGCAGTTAGTACGGCGAACGTTGTCTACTAGCAGAGGCAGTCGTACATCATGGCGACTGATTTTGGCTGTGTAGATGGAGATGCCATGGATGTGACGATCGAGTCGCCGATAGGCAGGAGCATTGCTGGGTGGACGGATGCTGCGACTGGCCACTGGCAGCACACGACGCGAGAAAGGTTGAATGATCCATTATACGCATCTAAACGACCTTGTAGTGGACTGTACAAGCTATGTTTTGGCCATCTCGGTACATATATCTATCTGGCAATGAGCGAAAATGTAACAACGGATGTCGGAATGCATGTAGGCAAGTCGTCGCAGGTCGCGGTGCTTGTTCACATCGAGTTCTTGACTGCAATGGACCGTCAATTGACAGTAACGTGACGCAAAAACATAGAGTTTCTCTGATCCCCACGTTTGGTGGATTTAGATTTACCCGAGCGCAGCCGTCACCCTGACACGTCATGGCACGGAGATCCTGGATCTAAAAATGAGTGTAAATACATACATGTACTGTAATATCAACACTTTAACAATGGACCACTCGTGTCGGTAGGATTCGACCAATGGACTGGTCGTGTTTTCCATTCAAGGAATGTCGCCCAGCCTCCTCTTGGCCAATTCCACCACACGGTATACAATGGTTAGCATATATACGTGGCACGCTCACAGGCTAGCGTTCAGGTACCTCCTGAGTCTGTCCGTCCAAGAAACCACTGCATCCCTCGTCGAATCGTCGCCACTTGTGACCCTGACCCCGCTCTTGACGGTGCCTTCACGCCCCTTCGAGTATGTAAACGTCCATAAAGCTGTACTTTTGAGCGTGGTGATGTTGAAAGCCAGTATGATTAGGCACCGCCTCATCCAAGTCATGCAAGACGTTCAGGTAGTAATACATATAAGTGATGTTGGAACGAGTTGTTCATCATTCGAATGTAGCGACAACAACGACAACCCGTTCAAGCGCACAATGTGGTCGTGTTCGACGTGACCTCTGTCGTGGAAGGTAGAGATAAAGTTGGTCTCTGGTGATGTTGAAGTGCTGGGGGTGCCAATGTGTGGACGTGTAGTCGCCATGGTGCAACAGCAATCCCAAGTGGCATTCACGGTATGATGTGTATGTACTCGACGTCGTGTTCTGTTCCATGCTGTGGATTCTGTGCGACAAGTACTTACTGAGTCGACCGCCAAACCTGAAGCTGCATGCAGACGCCGGCACAACCGTGCGGATGGCATCCACGGCCAGAGTTGCCCCAGACCACTGGCCACTCCTGACTGTCGAGCGTACGTCCTATAAACTGTCTGTCGTGTGATTGCAATGCATTGCGCTAGGAGGTTCAAATGGCGTCGAACACGACCTGCGGGAGTTCCAAACCAAAGTGTGGAACCTACAGAGCCTATTAGCGTACATCCGCCACCATCACCGCCACAGCCTCGATGGTACTCTTCTTCAAGTTGGCATTTCAAGCGTGTGAACGTCTGTATGCATCCCACATAGCTACTGCGGCCACCGCCGCCCGCCTTCTCGTGGGTACCGTCGTCGTGTCTGTCCTGTGGGTTGCTGTCGGGATCGCGCAAGTGGTTTTCGTGGGCAAGCTGTTGCAATAAGATCTGACAAATTGAATGTGGGTGTTTGATTGGCCAATGGTGATCCAATCCAACGCCTTTAAATGTATTTAATTCGACTTTGGCCTCCGTCTATAATGATCTCAAGTTGTTGACGTGTAATAAAAAAATAAAACTGTTTTGACGACAAAAACATTGTTTGGCTGTGGGATACATTATCCTAATGATAATGCCAAGCAAACGATCGAAAATAATTATTTTTGGATTCTTGTTCGATTGCGTTCACTTTTGAACTTGCCACGACCTGCTCAAATCAACGACATCAACGATGGCTCCCATTGACGTAACGATCCAATTCTGCGGCGCCTGAGGCTTCGTCCGCTTCTTCAACGCCGCCACCGCGGAATTGAAGGAGTACTTTGATGAAGGTCAAGTGAACTTCATCCCCCTCGAAGATCCCGGGACGACGGGCAACTTTGAGATTGTCGCGTGGCCCAACGGTCGCGGCGTCCAACCGTCGGTCTTGCTGCATGCGAAGAAGGGACGTAACCAAGGACATGTCGACTCGAAAGAAAAAATCGAAGCGATTGTGCGTCAACTGAAGGAGCTGTTGGCGTAGAAACGCCGACATGGTGTTGATACCGACGCCGCAGCGCCAGGCTGCCGAGCGTTGGCGCAACACGGACAGGCGGCCGTGCATGACGAAGCATGCTTTCAACAAGATGTCCTTGCCCCTTGTTTCCGACCTACGACCTCCCTCCATGTGCGACAACTACACCTCGACAAACTGTCGCAAAGCTCAGACCCCCCATCGAGCGACCGATACATGATTCATGACATTGGGTCATGCTTGGAATGACGATGCAAACTTCAAGGACAGCCATCCTTGTTTGCATTTGAACACATGACAACCCTTTAGACTGCTGTAATGGTTACTTGACAATACAGTATCACACCCTCGAACGAGTCTTGGCTCCTATTATAACTGTGTGGTGGTATTATCACCCTGCGACCAAACTTTTGAAGTCACGCATTACGATGCATCAGTACACCATCGGTTAACAGTTGATATGACATAAACCAGAGTAGATATTGCGCATTTCATCCAAATTAGTCATTTCGCCAAATTGCATTCGAATGTATTTGATCCAATTTAAGCTTGTACAAACTATGGCATATAAAGATTAATATTTATATGGTTTGCCCATGTGTTTCTTACCTGGGGCTCAATGTGGTGATAAACGCTTTGACAGGTGGCCGTCCAAGGCCAATACGCAAACCTGGTTTGGCTTGGTTGTTGCCGAGATATTATATACATTGAAACGATCGACGGTGCTTTAGACGGCGCCAAACAACACGCCACGAAGGTCCCAATGGATAAAAAACTCCACGCTTCTCTCGAGCCCACTTGGAATCAGCGACACGTTTTCGATTGCGTTCAAAACAGTGTCGCATCCAATGCTCGACGTCATCCCAGGAATACAATTTGCGGAATACGTGCAATTATCTGTTTCGTCGCATTGGGACAGATGGTTGTTTTTTGCAATACACGCATCGAAAGCACCAAAGTCATCGGCCTGGCTGTGGATGTACACTAGTTAGTGGAATTGCCAGCTACCGTTATATATACGAAATAGTACTTCGTACGTTAGTATATACTATTAATAGTAGTACATTGTCAAAAGTTTAGACATGAGCATCGTTTAGCCCAATCATACAGTACCGTATGGCAACTCGATCAATCATCGTTTTATTTGGCCCAAGCTATACGTATATTACAGTATTCGGACGATTAAGTTGAGCCTAAAATATTGTGGTATATTCTATACGAATATCCAGACCCCGTCGCCGCCGAATCGAATCACGAATCGACGCTATTGGCTAATCCATTTTTGAATGGATTTGATTGGCTCTGACACAAAGGACAAGTTTATTCAACCAATCAGAACTCCGGCGTGATTCAATATTGATTCGACAAACCAGGCGAATTTTTTTTGGAAGTTAATAGCGAATTCACAATAGTAGTAAATCAATTTTTCTTGACTGTCATCACAGCCAAGTGACATGACAACCATGACGGGTTGGTTAGTGGACGGGTATCGCCGCCGTGTGATGGTGCAAGTTGTTGATCAGACGGTACACTACCAATAATATGTTGTGTGAGCGTCAATCATATACGAAAAACACCGCCGACGTCTACCTCGGTGCAGCATAAAGATGGCGTCGTCGATAGCTGCGACACAGGCGGCCCCATTCTGTTTGTACGTGACAACCAAAGTAGCGTTTTCGATGGCGGAGACGTGGATACTGCAGTTGCGTCCAGTTTGCAGTGTCACAGATTTGGCATTGTCACCCACAAATGCCACTGAAACAACAACTACAGTAGGCTCATGAATCTATACGTCGTGCCACGTACTCATGTCGGCGGAAAGGGTGCGAAGGGACTGCAAATTGACGAGGACGCCGAGGTGGTCGACGTCTACGGTGGCATATGTGACAGTGTCGTCTGTGACCAAGATGGCTTTTTGGATGCCTCGGTGTTGCTGCACTAACACAAACCATAAGCTCGTATGAATGTGGTGTGACCAATGGAACGAACGTACAGGTGGCTAGAATAGGTTTCGCCGACTCGCGGATCACTTCGCTGATCTTGTAGTGGAACCCGTGAAAGTCGCGCAGGTTGTGGCCAATGTTGCCGAGGTCCCCGGCATATTCATTCACGAACGCAGCCAGGATTTCCTTGGCAATGAACGAGCCGAATTTCGGGCCGTCGCACACGTCGAGGAAGATGGCGCAAAACACTTTGGCGTGCTCGTTGGTCACGACGGCCACGGCCACTACATCACGCGTCGTCGTTTGAACCGCACCTCGAGTGTAGAATAGAGAAGTACCGTGGGCAAACTCCATGTACGAAACTGGGGCACCCGTGGTCTTGGCCGAGAACTCCAAGATCGCCGTGAGCAACGACCCGATCAGCCGCGGCTGCCACACAGGATCAACCAGCATGAGCTATGACGATGGCCATTGTCTGCATAATGCTACCTGGGCAATGGCATTGACGAATTCTTTGGAGAAGAGCACAAGACCGCTCGTAGCCATGAGCAGCACATTCCGCAGCATGGTGGTTGATTTCGAAAGATTGGGCAAAACGAGGAGATAGCCAATCACGTGCAAGCACGATGGAAATCAACGAAAAATACTGTGGAATTGTTAAATAGTGTGATCCATACTAATTCATGAAAGTAAGATCAAGAAAAAAGGAAGCGCCAGACCGGGTTCGAACCAGTGACCCTCAGAGCTGCAATCTGACGCTCTACCACTGAGCTACTCGCGCTTCATATTTTCAACAACCAAAATATTTCTATCAATTATTGTCGATTTGATACAAATCGCGCCGACCAAACCAATCCACAATTGATCTGATTGGTTCAATTTTTTTCTTTAGGTTTTGATTGGCTAATAATTTTGAGCTCATCTGAAGTAGCCAATCAAATCGATTTAAATTCCAACGAGAAACCACACCACAACACGAAATTTCACTCGAAAGCACAATACTACTAACGTTACTATTAATAGTACTTGTACGATAAAGTAACTCAAAACTGGTGGCCCAGGCACACCAAACGGCATCACATAATTCGTCTGGGCTTGGATTAACATACCGTATAGTGTATATGTATTGCGACGGATTAATCTATTGCGACTCCTGTAATAACTGATACTTTTCTTGTAATAACTGATATTTACTTGTGAATATGTTGAATATACTTCAAATTTGTATGACGCAATGGATTCACGAAGTTTTGAGAACGAGTGTCGGCTGGTTGTGAAATATCACTTGTCGCAATACATATACACTATACGGCACGACGATCCAGTGTAATTCCACTAGTACAAACTAGCACGAACTGTCGAGGTTGGAACCTATACGTATAACACTACTAGTAGTATACAGCTTTGGTTTAGGGCTGGTCTCCCATAGCTACTGCCAACGCTTGCCACGACGCATGCAATTCCTGCATCCCATAAGCCAGTTATTCCTCGTAAAGTTGATACACATGTCCATCATACCTGAAAGGCAGACACGGTCAAGTCCATGACGTGGGAGGTTGTGGTGGTGTTGTCTGAAGCAGCTGCCCACTGGAGGCGGACCGAGACGGACGGCGGCGCCAACGTGGGGGGACCTCTCATCACCAGTCGAAGTTTCCAGTTCAAATGCTCAAAAGTGGGCTCCACAGACCCAAACGCCTTGTGTGGCGACGACGAAACCCCTTCGGCAGTCGCATGCGACGACGCGAGTTTGAGATGCCGCTTCCACCGCTTCAAGAGCGTGATGGCCACGACGTCGCGGTGCGGGATGGAGCCCAACGCCCGCTGCAGCTGAGCCAACGCGGCGTTCCATGCGGCGGTCTCGTCGGACGGCGTAGTCGAGTCCGTCATGGGATACGTCAGGTTCTGCAACGCCAGGCCTCTACGACAACGATCGACGCCATCATCGAGCTTGAGCGTCGGGGGAATGTGTGTTCGTGGATGATGTGTGTGTACCGAACGATAAACGGTAGACTACACGCGACATTTTGCATTTGCTCGTTCGACAGGTCAAATGTCGATGGGGATGTCGCCGCCTACGTCGTCGACGATTACGACTGTGGACGCTCGTCAAGGACGTATGTACTCGCTCCATGACACGGACGAGATGCTCGCTAGATTGTTTGTCACAGGCTTTGGCGATCTGAAATACGGCACACATGGCATGTTAGCAGTCCGACGATGTACAAATCGATCCATTGCGTACCAATTCATCCAGCAACGACACTTGACAGGCCGCGATGTGATCGAGAATCGGAGGCACAAGTCGCCATCCTAGTGTACATGCAACATCATCTCGTCTTGGACGATCAGTGTGGAGCCATGTACCTGAGGCGCCGCGCAAGTAGGCTTCCATGGCAGCTGCAGTTGGATCTTGGTGAAAATCCAACACAACATCAAAAGGGGTGGGTACCTAAAGTTTTGTACTGCGGTGGGGGGCCACAAAAATAGGCCATTACCTTTGAAAATCGATTATGCGTTCTCTCCGTTTCTATGCATTCGGGAGTTTATCCGTTTATGCAGTGGATTTCCATTTTCACTTCGTGAATTGCAAGTTTTGCAAGTCACGATGCCATGTCAACGAGCATAGAAGCAACTTGAATGTCTCGTCAAAGAAGGCGACTAACGTTAGCATCAACCTAACACTATCCATTGGTAGCTACATTGGCTAGTGTTTCTTTTGACCAAGTTCTCGCTTCTCACTCGATGGTGTTGTCGTGTTGTATTCACCAAGGCCACTTGAATTCAATCACCGCGCCGTCCGTGGCGTCTTGATAGCGCTGCGAGGTGTCACGGCGTATCCTTTCTTGACAGCTACGTGATCTTCCACGTCCACGAGCGCTTTGTACATGGCTTGTATCATCGGGTGGCTGGCATCGAGTTCGCTGCACGCCACTTCGTGTCCTAAGCGTCATACATTTCCCAACACATCGTTCGTCCCTCTTGCAACCATCGACCGCAGTACATAACGTTACTACCTTTGGTGAAGGCTTTGATCGCTTGGTCGAACCGTCGCATGTGCTCCAATTCGACGCCCCAGTTGTAATACGCAATGGCCAACACGCTCGTGTCGCTCTTGTTGTTGGAAGGTGCGCCGCCCCCTGCAACTCGTTCGTCCGCCATCGCTTTTGTGCGCTCGTACTTGAGCAATTCGATCGCACAGCGCGCATGTTCTGCTGCCCGTACATGTCTACATGCACCAAAACGACATAAGACATACTAGTGATTATTAATCATGTTAAATATGATGGTTTATCATGCACACCTCCCCATTTGCGATAAAATCGCGCAAATGTTCAAGTGCGTGCCGGCCGGGTTTTCCACATTCGCAATAGACGATTCAATCTTGAGCGTCTTTTCCAAGTACTGGATGGCCGTGTGCAGTTTGCCATGTCTACGAAAACCAACAAGAGGATTCGTGACCCACTCACTGGCTATGCATTTTGAGTGTACTTTTTGAAGTAGCACGCAAAGTTGTTGAGTGTGATCCCACGCAGGCGCTTGCGGTGGCTGTCGTCGACCAAGTGGCATGTACCAGGGGTCGTGTGTTGGTCGGCCAACGTGAGCAGGTCCAATGCGTCCTCCGACTCGGCTACATCAAATGTCAAAAAATCAATTTAAAACCTTTTTCACGGAGCAACCAAGTCTCACCCAAACTCAATGCGCGCATCGCGGCCGAGTTGCATAACAATATAAACTCTTCGCACATTGCTTGCACCTATAGGTGCAGCAGTAGCACTAAGGAAACCATTCGTTCCAAAGCTTGGAATACGTACGTACCTCGGGAGCATTGACGCCATATCCATCCATGAGCTGCACCAGTGCGCTTTCGACGTCGGTCGAGCTGCGTGCAAACTGACCGTCGATCACCCACCCATCCACTTGCGCTTGGAAGAGCGAGAACGCCTCGGGTGTCCGTGCCTCCACGGCAGCGTCGAACGCTTCGCCGAAACGGCCCATCGCTTGAAATAGATCCGCCGAGTATTTTTCACTCACTTCAAAATCAACAACACAGCTAGACTAACAAGGACGCATCAACTGTAACACAGCCTTTAGCCATGGTGTTCTAGGCTCAAAGGCTCAAATTGGCGTTAGTAGTGTACGTAGTAGGGGTAGGGGTATAATAGGAGGTGGATTGATTGAAACTGGGAGTTGGCCAAAAGATCGAAAAAAGGTGTGGTCATACCCGGACTTGAACCGGGGACCTTCTCCACGTCAAGGAGACGTGATAACCGCTACACTATAAGACCACATAATCAATTACTCATTTTATATAGCCAATCCGTTTGATTCATCGTACAAGCTCAAGTTGTCGGCTGACAATTTCAAGATGCAATCGTATTCCCATGCTTTGTCCTCATTCCTATGCAGTACTAACTATAATAGTACATACACAACGCTCTCAGTATTGTATTAATTTTTTCAAAAACTATTTTATCACAACGTTCTCGAGAATACAAACGCGTATATCGTTCGTAGAAGAACTGTGCCCTATTTTCCCATCGTTCACTGTACAGTGAACATACTGTTAAATTGGCATTTGTAGTAGTAGTACATTTGTAGTGGAGACTGTTCCATGTTATACTGTACGTTACATAGCCATGTTGGTTCTCTCCGACATTTCCCCCCTCCCTCCTTCCACGTATTAACTACTACGTTCGAATCTGAAATCGCCCCGCCTGGGTGAGTGTGCGCACGCCCTTGTACGGCTTGTAGTTTTCATTGGTGAGCACAAGCGTCTCCACTGCGAGGCCGCTCACAGTCGTAAACGGCACTTTGAACCCCAGCAGCACCATGGGCTTTTCATCGGGCACGGCGGCGCCCTGCTGGAGGACGATGGCCGCTTTGAGCGAAGGCGACGCGGCTTTCTTCGGGTTGAACTTGCCGACTGTCCACTTGAGTGTCTTGGTGGCGTCGTCAAATAGACACGATCCGGTCTCGGTGTTGGCATCCACCGTGCGCACGCTCTTGGGGAACGTGATCTGCACCGTGATGTCTTCGGCTAACCAACAAAGATATTGTCAAATCGATATTCGAAACTGCCTGAGCCAATCAAATCACGTTATGTCAAATTTCTGCCAATCCAAACGTTTGACCCCTCCGCATTATTGGGCAAAACCACATATACATATATACTAATCGTTGTATAGTATAGTGTGTACAAGATTAAATAGGATCAAATGGATTCGAAAGGTATTTGGTGAAATGACCCTCAAGTCCCGGTTTGGGTGAAATGCACAATATAAACCAAGATAAAACGATGAAAACTACGACAACTAACAACACACCACCATCCCGTTGTATATTCAATTGTGTTTGATATATACAACTACAATATAAAGATTCCCCCCCATGAAAAACAGTTGGACCTGTATTGTCCACGTATTCGATAGATAGATCTCGAACTTTCGTTCGATAGAATAATATTATGATTACTCGTGTCGATATGGAGAGGTCGTGTATTTCATAACATTTCAGGGTGAGTGACGTCAAGGGTTGATAGAAATATCATATTCGACTCGTGTTTCCTCTCATAATTTATATAAACCCCGAAACCACAAGAATAAGAACAACAGTCGTACAACTAACTACACATCCAAATCTCGTACTTTTCAAAATACATAACGTATTCCCCATATATATATATATAATTCGCCCAAATACTACACATCCAAACTCGTGTACTACTTTGAATGGGTTTCTTGGTATTGTTCACAAGTGTGGGCATGTTGCGGGCGCCGAGGGCGATCTCTAACGTGCCGCCCTTGTCAGTGTACTTGATACTTGGCTGGCAAAAGATGGGCGGCACCACTTGGTTGACTTGCACGCGGTATTGCATCAACTGCTCGAAAAAACGTCACAATTATGCAAAAAAATCGCGAAAAAATCGCGAAAAAGACCACCTACCTCGAAATGGCCATCGGGCGGGACAAATGAAATCACACGCTCGCGCTCGTACCGGGCATACCGGACGCATGGATGGAATGAGCAGTCGTCGATGACAGAAGGGTCCACGAATACCATGGTGAGGTCGGGAACCCCCGAGAGCCGACTGTGCCCGTTGATCGTGCCGTTGACTTCGCAAGACAGCATCTGCCCGTGGCTGTCGATGATCGCATCGATCTCTTCGACCACATCAAAGTAGATTTCGTTCTAATCATATATGAAAAAATGGTGAAAAAAAAGGATGAAAAATGGTGAAGAAAGGATGAAAACTGGGAAAAACAGCAAAACATGGTGAAAAAAGGATGAACAATGGTGAAAAATGACGAAAGGGTGAAAACGAGGAAAAATTGATGCAAATAGTAGAAAAAAAGCATGAAAAACAGTAAAAAAGAATAAAAAAAGGACGAACGCAGACCTGCGTGTACTTGACCCCAGCCTTACGCCATGGAATGTTGGAGATGGCGCCGTCGGGCAGTTGGTCGCTCACACGGGACTTGCCCTAGGAAGAGGACATGAGGTAAAGCATGAATATGGCGATGGACGACGTACGGATACGATGGCGGCAATGCGGTTGACCGTGGAGGGCGGCGCGACCATGGCCTTGAGGGCGTTCGGCTCGGTCGTGAGGGGGTACCCGTTGTCGAGCATTTCCTCGAGCAACTGGTACACCGTGGAGAAGTTGTCCTTGATCGCGCTTTCTTCAAAGCTACCAAAGTAGTCACGAAAGACTGCCACGACGCGATGGAGAAACTCGATCACAAATAGCGGCGAAATCTAGGTCGGACATGAGTTTTGTGATGCAAGGATGGAACGGCAGCACCTCGTTCGTGACCACAGCGAGGAGGAACAAGCCTTCGCGGAACACGCTGATGAAATAGTGCTTGGACGTGGCAATCACCGGGGGCACGTCCTACGCAGCCATGGTCGTTGAGGACATACAAGGAGGTGCGCACCAGGTTGTCAGATTACCTCGCGCAGCTTGTACTTGTTGACTTCCTCGACGAAGAAGTCGCAGACTGTGCGGTTCGTGATGCCGCGCCAATGCTTCTCGATGATGATCTCGCCTGTCGACGTGATGATGAACATGCTTTGAATCATCGTCCGTCCTCGGTCGCCGCCGCTGTGGGTTTTGAAATCCTTCGAAAAAACACTCCACAGGATCGTACGCGACATTCATTGGTTAAAATGATTCGTATTCGACATTTTAGCCAATAAAAAGCCTTTAACTTGATAGTTTTAGCGAACCACGGCGCACTTCGCGTTACCTACTGCAATCCCAGTGGGTGAAATGTGATGTACACGACTGCGGAAAGCAGATAGACGACTCCGTCAATGCCGAGGGCGCGGCGGTGTGCATGTTCCGCCATGCTTCATCCTCATGAGAGGTGAAGGGGTGACGGACCTAGGTGCATGAAACGGAATGACGGTTTCATTCGCTGTCATGGCGCGTCGGAGCAGTGCGATCTTGGATGATGCGGCGGCGGCGTACCATCCCACCGATGACGATGCCACCGCGATCTTGTCTCGTGCTGTAGACCCATCGGGGCAGTTTGGATGGACCCAGACCCTGGAAGAGCTGTATGTGTATGTGCCAGTGCGGCCTCGCATCGTGCGCAAAGGCGTCAACGTCCTAGCAACGCAGTCCACCGACCATGTACCACATTTCCCCAACGTTCACTTCCATGATCACCATGTTCATAGAAGCATTGGTTCACCGTGATAGTGGACACGATCCCCCGTGTGCATGCGCAGTTGGCGGCCCCTGTGCAGTGCGCATTGTTGGACTGGGAGATCGCGGCGCAGAAGGAGTCGAGTCCGTTCTACACACGCGCTGTGCTCGCGACGTCCACTGGCCCGTCCATGGAAGTGTGCATCACCCTGGTCAAGCAAGCGCCCGCGCGTTGGGGCTCTTTGTTCTCGTAGTACGTGGTTCCAGCACTCGACACATCACGTCCATCTTGCACTCGTTCTGCTCGTTAAGGCTATACTCGTTAACGAGAACAGGTCCAGCCTAGAATACTATCCCACGTAACTTGGTTTCAACCTGCATATTCGTGGTCGAGATAGAGCATTCATAACGTCTAAAGCATCATCTTGTGTGTGCACGTAGTACATGCACCCGGTGTATATCGTCATGCTACATCGGGTGCATGTACTTCGTAGTATTCGTTAACTACTCGACTGATGTACTGTACTTCGAAGTACTGCATAATAAAAATGTAAGCTTTTCCCCCAAATTTGGGTAATTATTACCCAATAGCATTTGGACCCTATCCAAATTATTAATATAACGCTATATAATATGAGCATACTATTATTAATAATCCTATTATTGTCAAGTCGATTTGAAATTGCTCACAACGAATGAGCAGACGAACCAAATCGGCAGACAATCGATACACAACCAATCAAAAGCCAGATCACTAAATCAAGTAGCCAATCAAATCCATTCTTCGACCAATTCAACAACTAATTAGTGTGTGACTGAAGCTAGTGTGACACTGGACGAATTTTCCATACAAAAGTCAGTACAAACAATCGATCGATCGATTTGTCGAAAGTCCAAATTATGATAATACTTCATACAGTATCCGACCAAAACGGAATCAGTCGCTTGGATTGGCAGAATTGTGTGATTTGATTGGCTTAGACTGTTGTAATTCAACGCGGCTACAGTATACATCTGATGTACTAGTTCATTATACCTATAAGTAGAAACACAGACCGGTGGTTGCTCCAGTCCATGTCGAATGATATTTAGGCCGAGTGTGGATGAAGATAATGTATTTTTCACATAATATTCTTCAATTTGGTTTGGCCTCACCAACGTACACATATATCAACCAAATGGACAGAGGAGGTCTGTCTATCCGAAATCCATGTAAACTCGAAACGGAGAAAGATGTGTATACATTGTGAATTCGCTATAAACTTCTGAAATTCGCATGGTTTGTCGAAATCGCGCTGGAGTTCTGATTGGTTGAATATACTTGTCCTTTCTGCAAGAGCCAATCAAATCCACTCAAAATATTGGATATTAGCCAATAGCGTCGATTCGTGATTCAATTCGGCGGCGAGATCATTCGATTCGAGGGGGTCTGGAAATTTGTACCAAATCCACAATAATTAGCCCAACAACAATACAACAACGACAACAAAGCACAGACCAAAGCGCAGTGTGGTTTGATAATTCATTGTCACATTATATATATATAATGTGACAATGAATTATCAAACATATATAAATATATATTGGCCACGTTTCAGACATATATATATGTCTGAAACGTGGCCAAATATCCAAAACGAGAGTCGTGTTGTCTGTAGACAATTGTGTGTATTTTATATATAACACAGAGGGTTTATTTCTATTCTTGTGCTTGATATAATTTTACGTGCGGATTTGAAACCGCCCAGTTTTGGTGAGCGTGCGCACGCCCTTGTACGGCTTGTACTTTTCATTGGATAAGACCAGCGACTCGACCAAGAGTCCGCTCACGGAGCTCAGGGGCACCCCAAAGTGGAGCAGAACCAAGGGCTTCTCGTCCGGAATCGACGCGTTCGCATGCAGAACGATCGTGCCGTGGCAGGTCGGCGACAGCACCTTCTTGCTCCACTTGACCGTCCACTTCAACGTCTAGATATATATAAATGTATAAGACAGGGCCTCACGGAAGAATATATATATATATATATACGGGGATTGTGCACTACACACAAATATATATATATATCTTTGACCAACAACATGAAACAGTGGGTTCCAACACATCCCATTGTTCATAGAAGAAATGGCAGTAAAAGAGACGTTCATCACGTACAATATATATTATATATTATATATATATATTGTACGTGATGAACGTTCTCTTTTACTGCCATATATATATATATGTATATATATTGTACGTGATGAACGTTCTCTTTTACTGCCATAACTTCCCATTGTTGGTCAATATATATATATATATATTGACCAACAATGGGAAGTTATGGCAGTAAAAGAGAACGTTCATCACGTACAATATATATACATATATATATATATGGCAGTAAAAGAGAACGTTCATCACGTACAATATATATATATAATATATATTGTACGTGATGAACGTCTCTTTTACTGCCATTTCTTCTATGAACAATGGGATGTGTTGGAACCCACTGTTTCATGTTGTTGGTCAAAGATATATATATATATTTGTGTGTAGTGCACAATCCCCGTATATATATATATATATATTCTTCCGTGAGGCCCTGTCTTATACATTTATATATATCTAGACGTTGAAGTGGACGGTCAAGTGGAGCAAGAAGGTGCTGTCGCCGACCTGCCACGGCACGATCGTTCTGCATGCGAACGCGTCGATTCCGGACGAGAAGCCCTTGGTTCTGCTCCACTTTGGGGTGCCCCTGAGCTCCGTGAGCGGA